ATAATTATGTCCCCACTGGATGCAACGAATGCCTCGTTTATAATGGGTTTTCATGTTTTTGAATCGTTGCTCCGGGACACAGCATCACAGTATGGTAGGGCCGTAACATTTCTGTCACACGCTTGAGGTATTCGGCCAATCATAATGCACTGGATAGCTGGCCAATCACATCACACCTTGCTTTCAGAACAATGAGCTTTGTAAAAATCGACGCGTTTCAGAAAGGCGGGGCATAGAGGAGATACAATAATGTACAGTATGTGGAAAATAATGTTTTTTGAACCTTAAACCACATAAACACATTTCATTACACCAAATACACCAAATAATGTTCTTTTTAGCAACATCATATGACCCCTTTAATTTCTTTCTTCTGTTGAACACAAAATAAGATATTCTGAAGGATATGTTAAAAACCATAGAGTTGACGGTAGCTATTGAATTCCATAGTATTTTTTTTTTAGTTGGTCCCTCATAACCTTTGATTTGGCTGGCCATGACAAATATTAATTTCTAATTTATCTTCTTTTTTTGCATTCAAATGTCGAGAATTTTGCATAAATAACATAAATATTTTATGCAATGTATAGAATTAATAATTTATGTAATTAATTTATGCCTTTATGACAAAGTCCTTTGTCCTCTTGAACCTGGTTTACATTAAATTAATTCAATTTGACTGTGTTACAATGAGAAAGGCACTCTGAATGGCCGAATTCTATAGAATATAGTAATATAGTAGAATATAGTCCCACTTTAAGCGCTGACTGGATGCGCGAGCAGTGCGATCATGTGAGAGTCCACGCGTCTGAAAGTAGGTTAGCAGGGTAGAGTGAGAGGAGAGAGGGGAGAGGGAGGACGACGACGATTCATACCGCGCCACAACACGCGTCGAAAGCGACTTTCGTTTTTTTGTACCCAGAGCGCAACAGCAGACCTTTAGAGACGCGAATTTACTTTGAGGAGCTCTCTTATATTTTATTTTCTTAATAATGCTCACAGCCGGAGCTGAAAAGTTTCATTTAGGTAGCTGTCTTATGTTAGCTACTTAGTCCGAACTATATTGCTCCGCACCCCATGAACTTTGGAGAATCAAGAAACCTCGGTCAAAATGAGAGGTAAGATATTCGGAGCACTGCATAACATTGAACTATTACGTCAACTTTGCATGTTGTTTTTAAAAAGCTCTTTAAATAGTTTTTTTTAAGCATTTAGCTATAGAAATGTGTGCACGTATGTTTTCATGCACTGCTTTCTTGTCACAGTTGCCGCGCGGTTACTTGTTACTCTGTAACGCGTTTTTGGCGTTCCATTCTTTGTCAAACGTTACAGTGATTCATAGTCAGATGTAAAAATGTATCAAAATCATGGAATTCTTACACAGAAGCGGCAGGTCGTGATTCTGGCATGTGTGACAGGATTGTTTTTTACGTCATGAGAGTCAAATTAGTGGAAAGTTTTTCTGTATCGAGCAATAATATATCCCCTGAAAATATAAATACTACATGTATTTGGTGAATAACATGTGGTGACGCTTGCAGTCATTTTAATAAGCTTTAATGTTTCTCTAAACACGACTTGTTGTGAGGTAAATCCTCGCATTATGCGGTTTTTGTGATATTGTTGAGTGTAAATGTTGGCGATGGAGGTGTCGGCTGCGTGTTGTTGTTTTCGCTGGGCAGCATGGCCGGCCGTGTGAGCAGCGCTCAAACCTGCTGTTCTACTGACGTAGTTATGTCACTGAGCATTACGCAGCATTCACAGGAGGGAATGAGGGAGAGACAGAGCGCGAACGAGGGGAGGCGCTTTGCTGGAGCCGTGCAGACCCATGCGGTCTGGTGGTGATGGTGGCCACGCCGCGCCTTTGCCTTCCATCATGAACTTGAGTTTGAACTTGAACTCCGATCTTGATATAGACAATAAAAAGCAAAGTTTATTACAACAGTCTCGCCTAATTACAGTTGTACACAAAATATGCAAAAATTAAACCCATTGTTGCGTCAAGTTAAATTATATTATGCTTTTGTATTATACCAAAATATCATGTTATGAATTTAATTACATATAAAATTAATTACAAATGTAGTTATTATATGGAAATGTTTATTGTATTATATATTATTTTATAATAAAAAAATTAAAATATTATTATAAAATTAGTGCACTCTAAAAAATGCTGGGTCAAAACAGCCCAATTGCTAGGTTTGTCCCTATTTTACCCAGCACTGGGTTGTATGTAACCCAGCATTTTTTAGAGTGTGAGAGCCCCAAAACTCTTGACAGATTATTTCTCAGCAGCAGATATTTATGTATCATGATGATAAAATACATAACACATTGCTTTTCCAGACAGTTTCCACTCTGTACTTTCTTTCCTCTCACATAGTGAAATTATTTAAATTCTGGAGCAAAGTATTCATTCATTTATAATTAAATGTAATATGTAATTAAATGATTATAAGCACTATGACAGAAATTTACCATGACAATAACAAGTTTTCACATTAATACCATGGTTAATACAACTTTGCACTCTCTTTCTTGTCACAGAGTAAATAATAAATATAATAGTAGTAATAATAATAATTCAGGTGCATAGTATTTATTTATTAAAATATGTTATAAATTTAAATGATCATAATCACTATGGCAGTAATTTACCACAACAATGACAAGTTTACACTTCATGGTTAATACCACTCTGCACTTTTCCTAGTTTTTGCTTTTTTTAGCGAAAACATGTAATTCATTCATTAATTATTAAATGAACAAATTCTGTCTCTCCTTGCAAAATCTTAACAAAACAGAGAATTCTTTAGCCTTAGCTTCTTGGCTTCTTCTTACTCTTCACCTGGGTTTGAGTAAATATTAAATCATAATCGTTTTTCTTCATAATTTAACTAATGATCCAAACTCTTTGCCTGTAAGCTCAAAGTGATTATTTGTCTCTCCCTTTTTGTTTGTTCTCTGGACAAATGTTTAAGGCAGTTGCAGGCGTACATGTCCGGACATACTGTCGTGAGGTGGGGCTGTGTTTAAATATATACAGTGTGGCTCATGTTCACAGGGCAGCTGAGGACAGGAAGGCTGTAGGGGGTTATGTATGTACTCTATTGAAAAAGAGCAGATCTGCACTTTGTCAGGAATATTTTTTTTTAATATAAATCCTGGACGTTTTGCATGATCTGTTTTGTGTCATCTGCCTTCATGTAACTCACATCCTCTCTGTTCTAATAATAAGCCTTCCTTTTTATTTAGTCAACACTAAAATGACGATAATCGTTTCACATTAATAAAACGCACACAGACTAATACATGCATAAAAGAAGCTGTTTTCCCATTTAGAGCCATTAGATGAGTGGATCTTATTTTAGAGCATTGCCGTTTGCCTCTCCTACTGTTTGGTTTGGCATCAATGCGGTCTTTAAAGTGAACATGGCATGAATTATGTTGGTTTCATGACGACCAGACAGCAGAAACCAAAAGTGACTTACTGACACACTGACCGGCTGTCTTACCAGAAACTACAGTGTAATTCTGTTCTATTTGCATGACGCTATCAGGATTTCACATCGGGTATGTGTTATGTAAAAGAGGTGAGGTGTTAAATCATTGCTCTTTACTCTGGCCTACAAATGCCAACCATGTGACCAGAAACCCTTCTGCTCATCACTGTGACAAGACAGACACATCATTGAGGGAAAATTAATTTGCGATTAGAAACATGGCTACACCTCATTACATACGCTTTAGTCAAAAATGAAAAATGATACACAATTGTCTACATTTAAAGGATTGTTTTTACTTTAGAAGTTTATGCAGTGTCAGTACAAGGCTTTGAAATAGAAGTTTGAGGTTGTTCTTGTGATATTTGTTGGGTAAGTGGCTCCTTTTGCATTAACCTGAATGCTTATCGATTGTGCTCTTTTGCTTAATCTTATCTGCCGTCTTGTGTTATGTCACCAAGTTAGACTTTACTGCTTAAGTGTTCTTTTCTCAAAGCTGATTGGATTACAGCACCATAAACACAGATAACAGCGGCTGCCACTTAAAGTGGATTTGAACCATTTTCCTTAATTGCCATGCACATAAAAATTCTATTCTTCATCTGTCTTTATTTTTTTGTTTATTCTCCATTATATCACACAGATGGCATTTATAACGTAAGAGACTGTGGAAACTAAAGGATCATGATCCCTGATGCTAATATGAAACAGATGAGTACATTAGGTATATTTAGGTCAGGATTCCTCATGAAGTGCACTGGAAACACTTCAAGAATCACTTTTAAATATTTTAACTGTTTTTAAACGGCTAATGTAGCAGGTTTAATAGAAACTCCATTTAAAAAAAAGAATGACCTCTTTAAAATGTTTTTTATTGAATTTATACAATTATTGTCTCATTTTATATATAAGTTAATTATTACATTACTATTTTATATATATATATATATATATATATATATATACTCTATATATATGTGTGTGGAAATGTCATTTTGGAATTTCTGTGGTTTAATGTGACATTGTTGTTCATGTATGTTCATGATTCAATTTTCTTTTATTGTTGTAATTAATTTACAGCATTAACAAGATGACCCGTTGAATTCTTTTTGGGAGCTATGACTGATTGAATGTATTTTTAGTCCAGTGCCTGCATATAAGATTAGTATTGACCAAATTCAGAGGCTGTCATATGTGGATCAACTTACCATGTTGTGTATTTTCAATGGTTTCAATTTGAAAATAACTTTTATATTGATTCAGTGGATTTATTGCATATTGGAAAAAAAAAAGTGTCATGGATTTATTGCATTTTGGGGGAAAAAAATGAAAATGAAAATCTGGATTTGAATTTTTAAAGTTATTATAACCTAAAGATGCTATGTGAAAGTTTGAAACAGAAAATAGTGGTTTTCATCTTGCCACTTTCTTGGTAAAGAAAACACATTTTTACTCAAAT